GGAGGTGGGGTCCCTTATTCAGCTAGTTATTAATGCCCCCCCCCCGTTCTCATCCTCCTCCTTCCTTCCGCATCTTCTAGTTGGGGCTGAGCACTTGGGGCTTCATAGTATTTTATTTATATATCATCTATAGGTTTTGTATATGGGCAGTCCTCGACGTACAACAGTTCGCTTAGCGGCCGTTTGAAGTTACAAGGGTGCTGAATTGAGACCTTTGGCCGTTTCCCACATCGTGACCCTTGCAGACTCCCCAGGGTCAAGGGATGGAAATTCAGACAGTCAGCAACTGTCTCACGGTTATGACGGCCGCAGCGTCCCCGGGTCACGCGATCCCCCTTTGGCGACCTTCCGGCAAGCCAAGCCAATTCACTTAACGACCGCGTGGCTGATTTAACAGCTGCAGTGATCCATTCAAGAAACGTGGCAAGAAAAGGCGGAAGACGGGGGAAAACTCACTTCCGTTTCTCACTTAGCAACAGAAATGTTGGGCTCAATTGTGGCTGTAAGTTGAGGACTCTGCCTGTATTAAGTCGCCTTGTCAATGCTGGAAGCCTCCCAGAGTCCCCCTGGGGTACGATGGGGGGGGGCGGGGTAAAGTTTACAAACCAACCCAAAGCGGGAGGAGATGCAGGACTCCGGGAGGAGGGGATGCAGGGAGAGGCTGGGACAAGCTGGGCCTCTTCCTTAAACCAGAGGAGGAAACCCAGCCGCTGCTCCCACCCCCCCCCGCCCTAGTGTGGGGGGGGCAGGGCTCCCTCTCCCCACAGGTGTTGGCTGGAAGGGCCCCGCCCAGCCTCTCCTGCTGGCTGAGCCCCCTCTGGGTGCGGAGAGGGACCCCCCCCCGCCTCCTTGGGACAGGAAGGATGGGGTGGTGGTGGTGGTGTGTGTGTGTGTGCTCAACACCTGCCTTTTCCTTCTTCTTCTTCTTCCCTTCGTGGCCCCTGCATTCCAGGATCGCTTTCAGAGGGACGTGGCCTGAAGACACGGATCAGCAGGGGAGGTTTGTAACCAAGGAGGCCACGAGAGGGAGGGAGAAGCCGACATGCTGCTGCTCCTTACAGCGACGATGCAAGGCCGCCTCTCCTTCTCCCTCTGGGTCTTTTAACAGATTCCTCCTCCTCCTCTTTGCTCTCTTGGAAGCTCTGGCATCAGGAAGGCCACCTGCCTTCCGGGACAATGGAGACGGTCAGCGGCTGCCTGGGGCCACTTTAAGACCAACTCCCAGAATTCCTTTCCTCAGCTTTGCTGGCGGAGGAATCCTGGGAGTTGAAGTCTTCAAGGGGCCCCAGTTGGAGACCCCTGGCCTAGGGAGCCTTCCGGGGTCTCAGCAGCAGGCCGAAGAGATGCTGCAGCCCGGGACATGCCAGGCAGGCCCTGGAGGAGCAGCCGGGCCGGGCCTGGGCCTGGCTTCAGAGCTGAAAGGATCCACCCTCAGGAGGGGCCTCCCTTGGCCAGGCAGGCAAGCAGGAGAAGAGGAAGCTGGGAAACGCAGAGAAATCTCAATCAGGGCCTCCTGGAGTTGTGGGCCTTCCAAAAGTCAGACTGGACAACCACCAGACCAGGGTGCACGGATAAGGCCTCCTGCTTTGGGCACAGGGGGGATTACACGGCAGACTAGATGACCTCTATGGGAACAGAGGGAGGGCAAAAGCGAGTTGCTCACTCGGGAGGGTGGAAAAGGCCGCTGCTGTTTCCGTGGGGTCTTTGAAGTTTCACAGATTGACAGAGTTGGAAGGGACCTGGGAGGTCATCTAGCCCAACCCCCCCCCCACCCAAGCAGGAGACCCTGCACTATTTCTGACCGAGGGCAGTCCAGTCTCTTCTTGGAAGCCTCCAGTGGTCAAGCTCCCACCCCTTCTGAAGGCAAGAAGTTCAGGACCCCTCAGGGGTCAATTCCTCCTCCTTCCACCAATGGCACAGGCCACTTTTGCCCTGGGCCAAGCGGGGCCATTTGCAGAGGCCGGAAGCCTTTAATTTGGGGGCTCAGGCAGCCCCCAGGGAGGAGGAGAAACTCCCGAGTGGTTCTCCCAGGGTCACGCATCACCCTGGATGGCTGAGCCCCCCCCCCGTGTTCCTCTGCTAGCCCCCTGGCCAGGTGGCCCTTTCAACCCATGATCCGGTTTCCAGAAAGATGGGAAGCTCTGCGGCTCCACCTGACAGCGGCATCCAAACAAGCGGCGAGCGCACGCAGTTTGCAGGAGGAGCCCCCTCTGCCAACCCGTGGGGACCATCGCTGGGGCTGCCTCTGCCGTCCTCAGGTGCCCTCCGGCCCGCCTGGAATCGCTCTGCCAGAGTTACAGGACTGTTCCCCGGGTGGGTGGGTGTGTGGAAGACCTCAGCCCACTGTGCCCACAGGCCCAGCCTCCCTCCGGAGGGGCTACAGACAGACGTAACAGAGGCCAACATTTTATTATTTTAAGCTCCTTGGTTTACACGCAGTTGGGGATGAAGGGGGAGGACGGAAGCCCCTCCCTCCTGCTTATCCCGCCTTCTTCCAAGTAAAAACAGAATTGCACCATCTGGACCCCACCCACAAGCGGCCACTTCAAGGACGCCACAGAAAGTCCCGGTTCCTCGCTTTGCTTCTCCTTCCGAAGAGCATCGATGAAGCGGCCACCTCCTCCTAAGAGCAGCACCTCCTTCTGGAACATTCCGGCAGAGTCCAAAACGGTTCAGCAGAGGGACGCTCACCACCACAAACCGCAGAGCAGCTGTTCCGCCCTCCCGGGAGCTTTTCCTTCCTTCCTTCCTTCCTTCCTTCCTTCCTTCCTTCCCACGGGAAAACAAGAGGCGTCCCACTGACCCGGGGAAGGAAAGACAAAGCGGCCATCCAGGCGGGCAGCTGCCCTCTCCCTTCCGCTTCTGGCCAGACTCAGCCCCCCCCCCTGCCCCCCCCCCCCCCGAGTTCTGGGTCCAAGCCACCCCAGGAGTTCCCAGGCAGGGACTGAAGGGGCTTCAAAGAAAGGGTGCCGGCCTCAGAGGCCGCTGGGACCCCGATTGGCAGGCCCAACCCTGGGGGTGCCAGGAGAATAAACCGAACTGCAGCCATCCCGGCCTCGGCTCCCTCAAAGGCGCTTTCTCCCAAAGGCAGCCGGACTGCGGCTTCTCCTGGAGGAGGACGAGGCTCCGCTTCTCACCCAAGAAGCCTCCTCGGTGGTCCTGGCATCTGGCATTCCTCCCCTCCCCGCAGGGGAAGAAGCAAAAGGTCTTCCTCCTCCTCCTCCTCCTCCCAAGGGGAAAAACGGTCCGGTTGCCTTTGGGCAAAAGCACCTTTAAGACAATAAAGAGCAAAGTTGGGAGGGACCCTGGAGGTCTTCTAGTCCAACCCCCTGCTCAGGTAGGAGACTCTCTACCGTCCCAGACAAACGGCCGTCCAATCTCTCCTTAAAAGCCTCCAGGGTTGGAGCCCCCAGGCAGGAAATTCCTCCTTCGCTCTCGGCGGCTTCCACCCATCATTCTGGCCTTCCGGTGCCTTGGGGAACAGGTGGACCCCCCTCTTCCTTGGGGCAGCCCCTCAAGCACCGGACGAGCGCCATCCCGTCCCCCCTGGTCCTTCTTAATCAGGAGGATCCATTTCAGACCCCCCCGCTGCAGCCCAGGAGGTCCCGGCTGGAGAGCGGGAGAGGCAACGTGTGGCCAGGCCAACCTGAGTCCTTTCATCCAAGCAGCTCAGCAGCCTCACCTGGGGAAGCCGTCACTTCTCCTCCTGATGAAGGGCTTCGATGAAGACTTCCAGCTTCTCCTGGATCTCCCGGACTTTTTCTGGGGAAAGAAATCCAGTCCCTGCCTTAAGGGAGTCCGGGCAGGGTCTCCGATTCCTCCGCGGTCATTGGAGGACCGACTGCAGGCCCCACCGTAGCCGAGCTCCCTGACCTGCTTCCTCCCACCCACTTCCTGGGGGCTCTCCAAACCTGGCTCCTCTAAGGCTTGTGGACTTCAACTCCCAGAATTCCCCAGCCAGTTGGAGGCTGCTGATCTGGGGGGGGGGGGGGGGGGGGCTGGACAGAAAGCCGGCAAGAGCTTAAACTTGGGACACCTCGAATTTCATTTAGTAGAGTTTTCATTTAAATTCATCACTTAGGGAAAAAAAGGAGTTTGCACAATTGTCTTCCATAGCATGTTATCAGTTATCTTCGTTTCCGGAAACTCCCAGAAGTACAATTCAAACGCGTGAAAATTGAGGATGGGGGTGTGAGCCAAATCCTGCCTCCCCCCAGCAGGGAAGCCGGGCCCTCTCCGAAAGGTGCCCCCCCCAGTGCTTCTCCAGCAGGCGGGATGTGCCAAAGGCCTTGAACTCTGACCACGGGGGACCCCCAGGAAAAGGAGGAGCAATGCGGGAATCCAGTGTGGGAATCCAGGCGGCGCTCCTCGCCCGTCAAAACACAGAAGGACGACCTGCCAGAGGCCAAGATTGGTGCCCTGGGCAGAAGGGCTGCCGAGACAAGCAGCCACCCAGCCCTGTCTCCCTGGCAGGGCCAGGAACCGGGAGAGCCAGGGCAGATTCTGGACCTGGGAGGCAGCGAGGTGCCCAGCTGGCCAGGTGCAGCCCCGGCCTTATTCTTTCCTCAGGGGCACCTGGAGATCTGCCGATCTGGATTCTGTGCCAACCTGGAGCCCTACCCCTGCTTTGCCAGTCGTTCGGGCCTGCCTGTTATAAGTATCGGCTGCCCACCTTGTCCCAAGGCAACTCTCTGCCCCCCTCTTGCTCCTCCAGAGGTCGAGGAAGGACGCCAGGCAATGCCCCCCGGGGAGGGCGGGAGAGGAACACCCTGGTTCTCCCAACACAAGGCCCCCCCCCCCCCCCCCCCCCCCCCCCCCCCCCCCCCCCCCCCCC